ACTCCTTATTAAGATAAGTAATCAAAAATTCCTGATACCACGTCTATGATCTGTTACCTCGACCATGGGAAATAGCACGGGAATCATCGCGGCTAGGGACAGTATGGAACCCTTGCAAAACCCATTCAGGGACTGGACACTAGAACCGTATCTCAGCTAAATTTCGCGAGAACCTGCATGACATTTTGGTAATACTATCCTACTTTGGGTGTGGGTCGCTTGGACAGAAAGTGATTTTTTGCTTTCGTAGCGCGCAACCTTTTCGCAGCGGGAACTCCATCCAGTTCTACCTCCGAAATGGGCCGTATCCAGTCCTTTTGTCCGGAGCGTTCCTCGCCGGTGATTCAATCGTAATGTTGGGGGAACAGGATTTCCCCATGGGACCCGTCATTACGCGCTCGATGTTGTGGATATCTTTCCTGTCAGAGCATTCTTTTCTCCAACTAGGGATCGCGCTGCTCCAATTGTAGGAAGGTAAAAACGCAGAGGTGTGGCGGGTCCTATGACACTCAACCCTGTCTCCCTCAACCTAGATTGAATCAGCGCCACGGGACGCGTCCTCTGACGGAAGGATTACATACGGCTCCAAGAGTAGACATGTGGTTCCCGCAGCGAAGAAATTTCGCGCTTTGGAAAGAGGAAAAGTCCTTTCTGTTTCAGCGTCTCACACGTTCACCAGCCATTTGCATGCAACTGGCAAGGCGATCCGCCTTAGCTAGGGGCTTACAAGGGGGTCTTTCAGGACATGGAGCGTTTTTTTCAAAATGGTTACCTGAATGTTGTAGAGGCTCATGTGAGGAACACAGAACCATGGTTCATTTTTCCTGAACGCCCCCAGGAATGTCAAAACAGCGGGAAGAAATGGTCCAAAGTTCGATCCTCCGTGATGACAAATTTTTGCAATTTATGTTGGCGCCTCCAAATTGCCGCAAAACACGACAATGACATCTATTCTCGACGATGGCGCCATTTGGCGGCAATCTGGGGCGCCAAACTATATTGCAAA